CTATTGACAAGTTTGGAGACCATTTGTTTTTGTGACTACGAAGAATCCGCAATTTGAAAATCACCCTTTACTATGATTTTATCCGGAATGGACATTTCTGACATCATACACTCCAAAACAACGTCTGAAATTGATAAACAAATATTATGCCATAGATTTCTAAAACTTGGCCAACAGTCTATCTGAAAAGTTTGGCAAGAAACAAATATACTAAGAATATTAGATCAATTGGTTTCCATGGAGTCTTTCACGACTGGCAATATTGGGGGGGGGGTCAATCTGTCAGATTACCTTACTATACAAGGCCTAATCTCTGCAATATCTGGTGACTGGAGAGAGAACATCTAAATCAAATTAAATGGAATTCTAAGGATTATACAATTAATACACTGACAAGCAAAAAGGTGTATAAATCTTTGTGTGAAAACATTGAAGAGCCAAACACTGCCAAAGACCTACAACAATTGTATGGTATAAAACAAAATGGCTGTAATGTAATTTTCAAACTACCTCTCGAGACAACAATCTCCACAAATCTTAGAGCATTCCAATACAAAATTCTACCGAGTTCTAACAACTATTGTAAAACTGTATAAATGGAAAATAATCAATTCCCCCACTGTTCTTTCTGTGAAAACGAAGAAACATTAGAACACCTATATTTGTTCATTAGCTGTATTGTTGTAAAGAGACTGTGGAGACAGTTGCAAAGCTATTGCTCACTTATAGCTAATGTTTGTAATATATAAAATATAATTATATGTCTATGTGACACTGAATCACTAAATCATTTTAGTTTACTATTTAAAAAATATGTATGCACCTGCATGGTTCATTTAACAAAATATGTATATAAAAGTTGGGTCAGGGAAATAAAAATATTGAATCGCAAAAAACAAAGAGCTCATTCATTATTAGATATTGAACAAATATAGTTATATGTTATACTAGCTAATATTTGTATTTATCCACTTTTTTCTTTAATTTGTCTTTGCCTTTTCTCTCCATATACCACAATGTAATGTAATATTTTGTGTTGTATGTTTATATACATTAAATAAATACCATTTTAACTCGTTCATAAAAAGTAGCATGCCCCAATGAAAATTTAGCGTGTCCAAATGAGAATTTAGTGCTGTCGAATATGAAATTGGCATACTCAAATGAGTTTTATCGTGCACGAAAGAAAATTAGCGTGCTCGAATTAATCTAACCACTTTGAACACTTGGACAACCATATCGGTTCTTACTTTACTGACGTTAACTGCTGCTAAATGCGACAATTTAGAAATACAGTCTTACGATCACCGGCGTGGGATAATTGTTTCAGCAATTATTCTAAACCACAATCAGAAATATTTGTGTACACAATACAAAGACGTTACGACAGAATTTGGGGGTGGGGGCAATGTAAATGCCTGTGTTACCATAATTTTACTGTCTTAAGTTGAAAATATTTTTCACTATTTTTGCGATTAAATTATCAGAAATATATATAATACGAAGCAAATACAGACGTTACAACACCAATTTGCCATGTAATATCTAAAGTATATTGTTTGGCAAAGTAAAACCATGATTTTTGCAAAGAATTGCGACGTGAGAACAATGCGTTGTTTCCGGATAAATAAACATCGTATTCAGAAACAAAAGGACGTTTCAGATGTGGCGACAATGTACTTAATTTTACAGGCATGTAAATAGGTTGAAATGAAGGCATACGACCGCGTATATGGCGAGGCATCTGTGAGTGACAACGTAGACCGAATGCACACAATTGCATGGCAACTTGCATGGCGGATCGCCGGGCGTAACTTTTTTGAAGTTATACTGTAACGGCAAACATTTGTTTTGTGTCTGATATTGTATTCACGTAGCTGTTACGCAGGTGATTATAATATATTGGTTCAATAAAATTCCCACATGAACAAACTCAGAGAAACACCCCGGGGGTCTAACGAAATAAGGCATGTAAATATTTTTCACATCTCTACCCCTCTTTGCAAATAATAGTTGTCTCTCGCTGAACGAATCCATGCATTGGAGCATAGTTTATAGTTGAAATACCAAGAATTGCAAGTTGCAGCGGATGAAACCAATATCCACATATAGATAGTTTGCAACTACTAAGTATACTTGACTGAGTGTTGAGTGTACACCATGGATGTACATAGACTACTGCATGGCCGGTACTGAGGTTGAGATGTAATATACCCGGTATACATATCTTGTATTGTTTTTATATACCAGTACTGTACGTGATATGGATACGGACCCATACATCGTGGATGTACTACGTCCATGCATACATTCAGTCGACAGTCTAAATGCCACATGGGTTATGTCGCTCAGTCGACGGATTAAATGTGTGTAGCTATAAAAAAAATACAAACTAGCTTTCTCTAGTTTTTTGTCATAGTGTACTTACGGACATGCGATCGCCGGTATAAATGCGTGTGTTGGTGTATATTTGCATAGCACCTTGACTAAAAAAGTCAGACACAACACAGACGGATCACACAGCTGTGCTAATTTTGGCTGCTACTTAACTAGGTGTTAAGGATTTAGTGAAGTAGTAATACAATTAGAGAACACAAGTTTGCATAATAAATAGTTATTGCCTTTAATGGCTTATTTTAATATAGTTTAGACATATTGTTCTAAAATTAACACCTTTTAAGTCTCTTTCTACAATCACCAATCTCAGAGTACATTGCTTTTCATAACAATACATGTAAATGTACAAATACTGGATCTAACAGGGTATAGTTATCTCTTTTGAATATTTACAATTATGTACAGTTTTATAGAGCAACGACATGGTAACTAACCGTGGCCAAGTTCACTGCTATGTTTGTAATACATTTGTATAATGTAAAGACGTTGCGTTATGCCAAACATTCGCATTCTTCGACCACCATATTTGGTATTTCTGACACCTCCACTTGGGTGATATCCCCCTTTTGGATTAAGTACATCATTGGCAATGGTGAACTCTTGGACACTCCACAATTTATTAAATCAGTGGCTTGTGAACTATGTCTGATGTGACACGGTCCAACACATTCGTACGCTTCGTATCCTCTAGGTTCTATTATCCAACGATTTGTCCACTCCATATTTCGGAAACTGATATATTTTGGCCTCCTGCAACATGTCTCGCTGGCTGTACCTTCACCACAGTCTGTAGGGTCGAACCTGGGGGAAATAATGACCATATCAAAACAGTGCACATATTGTCGCTATAGTCCCATGATAACATTGTATCAAGTTAAATAGGCTGATGGAAACCAGAGTCGAAGACTTATTTTTTGTTTCACTTGCCGTTATTCGTTTTTTATATATCGTATCATGACCGCTAAGAAATGATATATATATCTAAAAAAATCAAGATTTTAATCAGATTGTGTCCACTGTTTTTTTCTAAATATTTTGACATAGTTTTTTTTTTTAAATATTTGTATGCTTCGCAATGACAATAACAACAAGTTTATTGATAGTAACATCGTGGCGCATGGCACGGGCTAATAACAACGTGGCGCATGGCACGGGCTAATAACATCGTGGCGCATGGCACGGGCTTATAACATCGTGGCGCATGGCACGGGCTTATAACATCGTGGCGCATGGCACGGGATAATAACATCGTGGCGCATGGCAGGGCTTATAACATCGTGGCGCGTGGCACGGGATAATAACATCGTGGGGCATGGCACGGGCTAATAACATCGTGGGGCATGGCACGGGCTAATAACATCGTGGCGCATGGCACGGGCTAATAACATCGTGGCGCATGGCACGGGCTAATAACACCGTGGCGCATGGCACGGGCTAATAGCATCGTGGCGCATGGCAGGGCTTATAACATCGTGGCGCGTGGCACGGGATAATAACATCGTGGGGCATGGCACGGGCTAATAACATCGTGGGGCATGGCACGGGCTAATAACATCGTGGCGCATGGCACGGGCTAATAGCATCGTGGCGCATGGCACGGGCTAATAACATCGTGAAACGTACCTCTGTTCGTAATGTTCAGTATATACTACAAGTCTTGGTTTCTGTTCAACATTGGTTTGTTCTGTTACAAACTCGACATTCTTGGCCACTTTAATAGCATGAGACGTTGCACGATCCCCTTCTATCCATAGTTCCAACAGGAATTCTTCGCCGGGGTCCTGAGACCATCTTTCGACTGCACTTGTTACATCAAATGTTTTCCAACCAGAATCGTTCAATTCCACCAGTCTGTCGAATGAAAACCATGTTCAGTTAAATACCCACAATTAACAACAATTCATGGGAATGCTGGTGAACAGTCGCTGGTGGGGGTTCAGTCATTCCTGATATCATTTTGTATGAGCATGTAGTTAAATTACGGTTTTGAGGTGAAATCTTACCTGGAATCTACGATAATATTGGCTGTATCACTGCTGTTATCGGGCGACTTGATCACGTGATGGATACTAACACGTGCGTGGTGGCTGTGACTTTGACTGGTACCGTTTTGTAAGTGCTTATGCATAGTAAAGTTTGGACGCTCTTTGTACAGTTTCAGCTCTGCAATTGTCACTCGACTGTCTCTATCTATTTTCCCTACCATGTCAAATCTGAGTTGATGTCGCATTGTTCCGGCGTATAAGACATCTGAGAGGAAAGCTGTAAAGATATAATGCAAGGTGTCAGACGTGTAGTTGCAGTTATTGCGTATTGTATTTGTGGCAATTGAATATACAACACAATTGCGACAGTTCTTTCTATTTAATCAGAAAATGGTACTTTAAAAACAACTGTGTATCATTTATTATCTGCATTGTCCTTGAATAAATAATGGTTTGCATTGCTATATGATGTGATGTTGTGATACTCTCAGATACAAGTGCAGGAATGCAAAATAGTCTTGAAAAACTTGAACAGTACTGCAAAAAGTGGAAACTTCAAGTCAATATCAATATCAATAAGACAAAAATTATTATATTTAATAAATTAGGTAGGCTAATTGAAATGGATTTCTACCTAAATGATAACAAAATCCAAGTTGTTACATCATATAACTATCTTGGTATCATTTTTCAAAGTAATGGTAATTTTAAA